ATAAACTGTGTTTGGTTAGTGTTGAGGATAAGTATAATGTTGGATTTCTGTGAGGCACAAGTACAGATTTTGTACAGAAATACCTTGTAAAGATTTTGGAAGCTCAGTAGCAGCAAATGAAGCCTGTAGTTCTCTTACTAAAACTTCTTTATTTATTCACAGATTGTTTTAAACAGTCTTTCACGGGGAGGAAAAATCAAACTGTACAAAACATTTAAATACTTATGATTGGAGCTTGTGAGCAATACAATAATGATAGTGTTTGTCCACATAGAAATGTTACATTTTATTTAATTCTAAAGTGCAATTGTTCTTTGTAAGGTGTTGTCCTTTAGATTCTCTATGGTATCTGAATTTCTTTTTCATTTCAGAGTGTTTCTGTCTTAAGAAACACTTAACAGAAGTAATGAGATCTTTTTAGGTAACACCATCTGTACCTTGTTCAAGGAATGTGGTAGGAGAAATTCAGTCCTTTGTTCGTTCATTCACTCCTGGGGTTAGTTTTACATTACCTAAACAGGTAGGAACAGAGCACACCTCTTTTTTGTAATCCTGTTGTAAAAGTTTTGGCCAGACTAATAATTGAAAGAATAAAAATGAACATGTACTTTTTGTCTTATGATTGTCTGCAAAAAGCTTTTCTTAGAAAATATTCACAGGAGGAATTGTGGCTTTCTCATTCTTACTGAAGAGATCAATTACCTGAAAAATGCAGTGTTAAATCAGTCTGATGAAACTGGCTGTCAGTACCCAGGCCACCTCATTTCTCATGTGGTAGGAGGGATCATTACTGAAATCATCAGCAAGAAACACTCTTGCATGTTCATAGCAATACAAGTTCTAATAAAAGAAATACTCTCTTGATTGCCCACGTAAGCATTAGGATTTTTTTTTTAAATAAAATTATGCCAGTGCCAGTTCTGCTGCTTGTGGCGAGTTCCTCTGTGGATGACCCCGAGCCTGCACAAGCACAGGGCTCACTGAAGATCGTGGGACCCTCTGGGTGAGTCAGTCTGGAGCCTGTGGACATCCTTCACAACAGCCTCACCAAGATCACTTCCAGCCTTGGTATGACACTGCAACAGCTACAATGAGCAAATTTGAAACACAGGGATGAGAAAATGCTACATTTACCTCTCATGGTCCCGACAATTGACTGCAGCAATTTGAAGTTACATAAATACAATGCATGATAGCAGGATGTGACCATTTACAGTTTGGAAAGTAAGCAGTGGCCATTTTTTTTCCCTACAAAGTCTTAATTTTGGACTTTTCTGCATATATTAAGCACATGCATTGCTACCACTTATCTTAGACCTCTGTCTCCAAAAAACCACAAATAATTTACTGACTTGGCACACTTCATGCCACCTCAGTATTAAAAAGTGAGAAGTCATACCAACTCTTGGTTGATGGTAAGTGGATGAGCTAGAACTAAACATATTCTTGACTGACCATGCCAAGAAAATTAAAAAGAACAGTTGAATTTGACCTATGAAGTTTTACTGTGAGAGGAGAGATCACAGATGTGGTTCTGCACAAAACTCTTTAAATGACAGGATACAGATAAAAATCAAAACAGTGAATAAGTATTTTAGAAAACAAAGATGCTAGAGATAATATTCCAGCTTGTGGTGTTTTGTGAATATTTCTTAATTACTTCTTGTGCAGTCATTGGCACAGAAATATTGCACTGGGCTGGGAGTAATTCTATTGCTGGGAGCAGTTCTGTCTTACAGTATTTCCTTGTCTCTCCTATGAAAGGACAAAACTGTCATCGTTCATTTCAGCATAATTTGGAATTTTTTCAAAGTAGTTTTGGCCAGTAGGATTTTTGCATTTTCCCCTTTCATATGCACACGAGTCACTTAGTTCTCTGGCTTTACATCACAATACTAATTTGGGTTTTCAGTCTGAAATTATTAAATAGTATGTGGTGTTCTTTCACTCAGGCCTGTTGAAAGGGTATTAACCATCATTACTCATATCAAAAAAACCTAAAACTTGAAGAGGAGGATGTATATTGTAACTCCCCTTGTCCTGCAAAGTTTCCTGTCTGTAATAGTTTAAGATTTACAAATCTAATGGAGAGTAATAAAATTCTTTTTATGTAATGTATTATGAAATTTGTGCAACCTCTCAGCCTGTAAAAGGAGTAGGGTTGTGTGCTTTGGATGTTTCACAATGTGGAGATGCTGTGGGTTTATACCTCCACAGGGCTTTAGGTGTTGCCTCCACCTGAGAATTCCACACCCCTGTGGAGCACTGGGGTCAGTCCCATCCCCTCCACCGCCCTTGTGAAGCTTTTGCTGGTCAAAGTTGTGTGGCTGCACCAGTATCTCAAACAGATGGTTATTGCGAGTGTACACTGACTCTCTTTACTCCAGCCAGAAATGTTTCAGACATGAAACATTAAAAATTCTTTACTTTCCCAAGGTTTCCTACCTATAAACCTACTCCCCCAAAGCCCTTGACCCTTTCCTTCACACAGCCGTCACTGGCAGCCCCTCCGTTTGTTTTGTTCCCTATAGCTCGGGCTCATTTGGCAATGAGTAACTGTTCCCACCTGGTGATTTACCTCTAAACTTACAAAAAATACATTATTTCCTTAATACATTACAGAATGACGAAGAATAACATCACTGCCTTACAGGACAAGGCAAAGAGTAACATCTTCACTCTGTGCTTTTCCCTAGGACTTTATTTGTCTTACTGAAACGCTACTTGTCGCGCAGCTTGCAGTGTTCCAAGGCCTTTCCCTTGCTTTTGCAGAAAGGTAGGAAAAAGCTGACAGAATTGCAGGTTAGCAGGGCCCAGAGCAGCATGAGAAGTGTTTCATATAGGTTTAGTGTGAGATGTGGTGTAGGGAACAAGGAGAGCCTTTCCAAAGGGAAAGCTGTAGCATGATGAGGGCAAAAGGCTGGGTCACCAAGCGGCCAGAATATATTCCTCTTCCACATGCCTTCCGAGTGACCAACCGAGGCAAGTCAGCATTAAAAGCCTGTAACTCTTTGACTGTTACAACTGAGGACTATAGTGCACTGCCTGTTCAGTAGGTGACCTGGTAAAAAGTGACTGGAGTGAAAGGTGCACTATTCAAATTTTGTGGGGGATGAACACCTATGAATCAAACAACTCTGCAGGTTGTGCTCTCTGTTGTCTGCCACAAGGGGAAGGATTCAGAAAGGCACCCTTGCTAAGAGAAGGATAATATCCAATATTCTTTTATGTTAGCAGATTACTGTGGATCTGCTGCATCCTTTTAATAAAGGCTGGGGCTGGACCATAAAACAGATTCAACCTCAGCCAGTGGCTCTCATGGATAATGGAAAATCTATCTGCTTTTTTTTTTTTTTTAAAAAAAGAGATCTGGTCAAGGTGGAAGCCCCACCTATCAGCATATTGTGATCATTTGAGTAGAACTCTAGTCTGTTTCTGAAGATTGTTTCCTAGATTTTACCTGTAGGATCCCTTTAGTCTATAAGCCTAGAGAGATTGGATGCAGTCCAAAGCATTGCTTCCTACAGCTCATGATGATCAGACTTTTCATCATTCACATCTTTGTGTTGTATGATGAACATGTGAAATGGACCTGAAGGATATCCTTGTCTCCCAGCAAGGAATATTTGCAATCTAGGACAGGAGCTAGCTGCTGAAATTCTATCTGCAATATCTGAGAAGAGGGAATAATCCCAGAAAAACCTTGCTGCAGAGCAATACACCTGTACAACAGCATGGCTGAGCCATAGCTTGGGAAAGACACTGTTTACCTTTGAGGTAAACAGTGAATTTCTAATTGTAACACACTGTGATTTAGCGTGAAAAACATCATCTACCTTGACAACAACCAAGGCAGGAGGAAGAGACCAAGAATGTGGAATTGCTCTGGCTTGTCTGTGCAAAGTTGGAAACCCGAAATCCCTGTTGAAATGGGAATACAGGTCTGTCTCCCCTTCTCCCTCTCTCTTTCAACATGTCTGCAGGAGAAAGATCTCCTCATCTGTCAGATGGTGGAGGAATGGGTATGGAATGCCCCTGGACCCCCTTCCTGGCTTTCCAGGGCAAAAGGGGAAGATCTGGGATATCCCACGTGCTGCAGACAAGTTTACCCAAATCTACTCTGCAAGGCTGCAGAGCAAGTGAACTTTAGTGATGCCACACCAGACCTGTCGCTTGTCTGCGTGGAACTAGACAGTGTTCTGAGAGTGCGGAGAAAAGAAGGGCTAGCACTTAGTCATTATTATTTTCCCTTCATTCCAGTTTAAAAATTTCTAAAGGATTGCATTTTAGATTAACAGAAAGTTATCCTAAACCGATGAGTTTGTTACTGTTATTAAAAATAGGGAATGTGCTCTCCTGGCAAATGCTGGGAGCAGTAACTTGCTGGGCTCTGCAGTGTTGGCTGTGGACAGCAGAGTGCACTGCTTGTACAGCAGAGGAAGGCAGCACCCAGGCGGCTGCTGAGGGGTCTTGGGGTCTTGGCAGTGGCCACAGGAGCTGGGCAAACCCACTGGAGACTGCACAGGTGTGTGCTATCAGCTGGTATCGCCATCAGTGCACTTGCCCCCTCTTCACTGCTGTTAAACAGCTACACATGCTGCAGCCACACCTGCAGTTACAGTGCAGGCACATCTTGAGAGGTGGTTGTGGGTCAGGTTTGTACTTGATCTCTAAAAAATAAGGATGAAGAAGAAAGGCTTTCTGTGTGTACAGAAAACAAAATGCCAGGTAAGTTGTCCTTTTTGCTCATATTAAAGCATCTATTTACTCCCATATTGTAGAGTTAGCCTTTTCCATACAGGGGCAGGTAGGAGGAAAATGAGGAACTAACAGGTTTCCAAGATTCTCAGGTCAATGTAATGGTACAGACAGAAATCTGTATTAGTGAGGGAAAAAAAGCATTGTGTTGCATGTGGAAGCAGCAGGTTGCTTGGCTCTTTGAAACCAGTGTTGATACACCAGATGGTTGCTGTTGCACATTAGCAAGAAGATGTTCTGTGCTTACATTGCTCTGATGTATTTTTATTTGACTTTTCAGATTTGCACTTTACATTCAGATGTGAGGATTGGCAGTCACTTTATGAAATATTACAAGAAGCAGCTGTAATCAGGGCTGGAATAATTTTATTGATCTGCAAGTCCACATTTCAACAGCTGGAAGAAACAAGAAATATTATTATGCTGCTTTGGGTCATTTTCTGATAAGTTGTCTTCTGTAGCCACTTTAGAGAGGCTGTCCCACAGTTGGGTCAGCCAGTGCTGTCCCACAATTGGGTCACTCCAGGCAAGATAGTTCTGGTGGTCGCTGGAAGAGGTAGCTCCTGTGTCCAGTGGCACTGTTTGGAAAGCAACCAGCACAGCAGAGCCTTGAGGTGCTGTAGAAGGGACACAGAAGAAGTGAGGAGTGGTGCTGGAGCACACAGCTGACCAGCTCTGGATCTCCACGGGCAGATGAAACTATAGTGTAAACCCTAACTGTTTGGAGGATTTGGGCTGTTCAAAAGAATTTGGAATATTGGCAGTGACTTGTGCCTTGGTGTTTGATTCTAAAATTTTGGATCCATTTTCTTGCAGACTAGGGGCAGTCCTGTTGAAAACCTGTTGAAATAATACCTGGCTCCAAAAGTGCCTGCTGTGGCCCAACTCCAACATGCCCTGCTCTGCTGCTGGCATCTGCCACACCACCTGTGTTTGGCTTGGCAGGTAGCTCTCCTTTTTTCCTCTCTTACAGGCTCAAGCTTATACCTGGAGACTGCAAAATATGCCCATTCCCTAGTTCTTGTTCCAGATCTTTTATTTCTGAGGTCTTGAAGGACAGGCTATGCATCGCTTGTGTCACAAAGCATGGTAACATCTCTAGGTGAGTACACAGAGCCTGGTGTTCTTACCAAATTCAGTTTCCATGTGTCATCTTAGATCTGGAGCAACAATCCTTACTGGCCCAGCAAGTACATAGCCCTGGAGACTGGCTGAATGGTGACCTGGAAGGGCTGAGAATAATACACAGTGTATTTGTGTAGTTTTTAAGGAATAAATACGTGCTACATGTTGTGAACTCATGTATTAAAATATGAACTAAAGGTAACATCAATGCTCACAGTTCATGTCTGAGGCATTTCAGATGCCCAAGTCAGAGCTCATAAGACTCTGAAAAACATCAGGCTGGGGTGCATTGCAATGGTTTTTTTCTCCTGCACACCTACCCTTCCTCTCTGTGTTTGAGCTGCACTGTCCTCTGCAGGTGCTGCCAGGTGGTGTGTTGGTAGGAGAGCACGCTGCCACCAAACAGTGCACATACACCTGAGAAGAAGAAAAAGTGCCACTTGGTCCATATCAAATGCCACTTTGCAGAGCATTGTGTTGTCTTTTGATCTCCTTTTGCAGAAATTACTGCTGGTTAGACTTAGGCTTCTCTGAAAGCTTCCATGTAACACCTTCTAGCTGAACCTGCCTTGAATTTTAAATTTGGTGTCAAAGAAGCCCTCAGGCAGTTTGGTAACTGAGAGGCTGAGACAGGAGAAGTTAAAACCTCATGTGCTGCAGTGTATCAAAGCTAGACAGAAACTCAATCTGGTGCTATATGCAGCTGCACACATAGCCAGAATTGCATCATGTTCATTTCTAGCAAGTTGAGCTGCTTATGAAAGGCTGAGTCAAAAAATGATGCAGTTACTTAAGCTGCCCAAGCAGGAGTACTGCTGTGCCTGGCATCAATACATGTAGTCAGGATGTGCAGTCCACTCAGCTGGGTGCAATAGGAGCAAAGTACCCTCAGGTGACTGTCCTGGGGTTTTCTTTGCTCTAATTAGTTCTCTTAGAGGAGAACAGAATCTCAAAAATTAAGACCAAATCCACATGCCTCTGCTTCATTGGGCTGGCATCCAAGGAGATGGATGACTGTCTGGGACAGATGGGAGACAACAGAGATGAACTTCATGTGAATATTAGGGCGTATAAGTTGACTTTTCTGCTCTAGACATTTTGAGCTGAAATGCTATGAATCTAATCCTACGCAAAGACAGAAACACCATATAAAAATCATATTTACATAACAAATTCTTTTGTTTACTTCAGCCAGTCCAATCTTAAGTCAACTGTGTTGCAGAGGAGATCTGAGAACTAAATTAAAGCAGCAGTCAGGCTAGTTGAGTTTAATGCTGACTAGGTCTTAACTCTGTGAAGTGTTTAAATCAACTATTTTTTAAAGCATAGAATCATAGAATATCTCAGGTTAGAAGGGACCCATAGGGATCATCAAGTCCAACTTCCTGCCTCTTTCGGGACTACCTAAAACTAAACCATATGATTGACTGTGTTGTCCAGATGATCTCAGGATAGGGTCCAGGAGTGGGAGGTGAGCCTTTCACTTAGTCTTACCTGTTCCAGTTGCTTTGCCAGGGTTCTTACTGCCAGCCTTTTAAAGTGAGAAGGGTGTCTGACCCTGGGGCTAACAGGTACTGGGCAGAACTCTGCAGCATACTCACTGCCATTAATCTCACACCTATATGAGGGAAAAGATCAACAGATCTAGAAGAAATTAGGGCTTTGCTGATGGGTACATTGGTCATTTAGAACTACTTGCCCATCCACAGTAATGTTCCATCTTGGGGTGCTACTGAAGTCCAGAGATCTGGTTACCCAGCAGTTTTCCAGGTATAACTCAATGTTGGAGCTCTCATCTTTCAGCTCCACCTCAAGAAACAGAGGCTCCACAGATTGCTTGAGTATGGCCATGCTGGGCTCATAGAATTCCATGAAAGATTCATCTTGAGAAAATGTCATGGGATTTTGTTGTTTAATTTTATTTAAACTAAAATACTTTTGGAAATTTTCTGTTTTTTTTAGGAGGACACTTACCTTTGGACACTCTTGAAACTACATTCAGAGCTTGTCTTACTCTTCTGTGTGCTGCAGAAAAGGAAATGTTAGTGAGGTTCTTTAGTAGAAAGTAGGGCATGTTTTAACAAGGGAACTCATGGCTGAAAGAGTTGGAGAGGTTTAAAAGTGGAGGAAGAGAATTGCCCACCTGCAGTATTTGATCTTGGTCCCATCGTACCGGAGCCAAAGGGAGGTGATGTGACTGGATCACTAACGAAGGCCCCCAGCACTAGGGTCTCCTTTGCTTGATAGTAGCACAAGATTGTTAGTCTAGAATAGGAGAAAGGGTAATTTTTGTGTTCACATGTACTTTCCAGAAGCTGTGCCAAAGTGAGCAGTGCCAGTGAGCAGCAGATCCTACCTGTAATCTGGATCCCTTGTGATTGTCGGTATGCTCTGTCCTGGAAGAGTCTCTTTCTCATAAGAGATTTCATTTTCATAAATAATGTGATCACCTTCAAACTGTGCATATGGGAAGCTCATTAAAAATTGAATCTTCTCAGCATCTGGGGCAGGGGAACAAAAGAGAAAATGCAGGAGAGACAGAGTATTTCAGCAGGTGTATCTGCTCTGGCCATGGGCTTACCCTTGCAGAAGTGCCACAGGTAGTGACATGGAACTTGAAGAAGGCATGCGCTTCATTATACTCTCTAGGCTTGCAAGAGCTGTCCCTTAGTTTGGTTTTACTCATGTCAATGCCAGGAACTGTCTTCATTTGGGCAGATATCATTACAGTACCATCTGGGTGGCATACTGAGAGAGTCAAAGGGTTGGTTATGAACTCAAGGAAAGAATCACACATCTTTTTTTTGACTGATCAGTTGTATAACTTACTTATAAATTCTGAAGAATTAAAACTGCAGCTAATGGAGAACATCTGTAAGGTCTCCATAGTTCTCACTTTCCTTAGGGCAACATCAAACCTTGCTTTGATTTTCTGAAAGGACACTTCCTGTGAAGGAAGAGATAGAAGAGGTGTCTTGTTACAGTACATCATCCATGTGTACAAAGTTTTGCTCTCAGTTTGTGCCACTTGAATACTAACAAGTCACAGGAGTTAAGTCAGTGTCAAGGCTCAAGCCTGATGCAACATGGGGGCAGAATTTTCTTGTATGAATTTATCACTCACTGTCACAGAGATAATTTTGGCTGATTATTGTACAATAGTTCAGATGTTTATTACAGCATCAGTTTTTCCCTGCCATGTCTTAACATTTCTAGAAAATGTTCCTTTAAAAGAGCTTCTTTTATAAAACTTCTGTTGAAATATTGTTTCTGGCTCAGTGCAGATGGGACATTTTGCCTCATCTCAGTAAAAATACAGAGGAGTTTGTTTTTGAAGACTTGGTGCATATCTTTTAGAGACAAGTGAGCACTGCAGATTGCATCATACATGGCATTACCAGAAGGGTCCATGTCCCATGCCTCTTATCCTACTTGCACTGGCTTAGAGTCCTTCCCTCTGGAGGTTTTCCAATATGGGTGATGCCACAGCACTACAAACTGGGACTGGAGGACTCTGTGTAAGCAAACAGTTCTACATGCTTTAAAGAAGGCATTGCTAAACATGTACCTCGTAGATAACTCCCACAGCAAACAGAGGTATTTGCAAGATCAGGTGTGTAGAATTGATAGCTGCCAGATACCCATTGGTGAGTGCAATGTGCCGGTTCAGTAGCGTGTTACCAAGATACAGTTCCCAATACTGGTGCAAGCCAAAAGTAGGGAGGGTTAGATACAGGTTTTCTTCATCACAGGAGCCAACTGCTTCTGGTAGTTCTGCAGGAAGAAGGTGGGATGAAGAGTTAGCCATGAAGGAAGGTTTGAGCGATAATGTTTGACCCAGGAAGGGATTTCTATCAAGGGTAAAAAACCCAGCAGCTTGTTATGTGCATGCTAGCATTGTCTGCAGGGCCTTGGCTGTGTTGTGGGTGTAGCAGCTCACGTTTGGTGGGATGGGGAATCCTCATGCTTTAGCAGTGACCTTCCAGCTTGCTTCTGGGACTACTCCCTGTTTCAGTAAGGCAAGCTGAGCTATGTACATAAATACATTTTTTGATCATACTTCTTTGAGTTGAATCAAGAGTTATTTCAAAGATAAAATAAGTCAGTGAGGAGACTGTCACCTTTATGGCATCCAAAAATCTAATAAGACATCCTGACTGTTTCAGTAACCTGCTAAGTACAGCTCTTAGTGGATGATTTCTCCTTACAGAAATGCTCTCTTTAGAGATCACAGCGACTTATTTGAGTCAGTTAAGTTCTGCCCTGGATTTAGAGGCAAAATTGTATTTGAGGACAAACTGAAACTTGTAGCAATGTCTGAAGGCTTTGCCAGTAGATGTATGTTCAGGTTCTGAGGCATCTGGTTCACTGTTTGCAAGCCAACTTATTCTACACACTTGTTTTATTGCTCTGTGTCTCGAGGGCAGACTCTCTTGCCAGGATGCAGAAGAGCTGCCATCAGCAAAGCAGCAAGTTGGCTATTACCAACAATGAGCTTTCGAAGGGTGGGGTTTTCCCAAAGCTTCCATCCTCACTCTAATGCTGTTCTCACTGAATTCAATGAAAGCCTAATCCATGCTGTTGATGCAAACCAGTTAATATCAGGGCAAAGCTTACCAATATCAGCAATCACACACTCCACCTCTGCTGAATGATAATAGAGTGTCATCTCTGGCCCCACGCTAAGAGTGTAGTTAACCAGGAGGGTGTATTTTGTTTCATTTCTGTTAACATACTGAAAGAGAGAGAAGTGTAAGACTGCAGCAGCAATGGCTTCCAGCACAGACAGGCATGTATATCCTGAGCAACACTAAATTATTCCAACACCCTCCTCTCCCCTGCAAATATCTCAGTCTCCAAAAATATCGCTTCAACTGGACTAAAACTATTCAGGAATCTGGCCTAGATTCAACAGCTCTTTCAGCCAAACACAAATGTGGAGCATGTTGTGCCTGTTCAGAAAATGGAGGCACAAGTGAACACAGTGGTGGTTCCTCTGTAGCCCACTGGTGAAAGAGCTTGTAGAGGGAGATCTGGTTCCAAATCCTTATTCTTCTTTACTCAGAGTGCAGGCTGAACCCAGGAGAGTAAGTAATTGGTTAAATAGAAGGTGTGAGGAGATTCTATGAGAGATCCCTCTCAATATCCTCTTTTACTTCACTAAAAGTGCTCCCAAAGCAAAACCTGGTGTTCAACCTGAAAGAAATACTTCTGAATTTTTTGGCTTGCTTTGATCCTTAATGCAATTTAACTGCGGTTTGACTGCAGTCTTAAAACTATTTGCAAAAGTCCTGATCCTGTGCTTTCACAATGTAGTTCCTTGTAACAGAAAATAGCATCACAGCTCTGCGTGGTTTGGTTGGAATAGTGGTAGAGAACTTGCAGTTATGCATCCTCCCACTGAAATGAGAGGTTGAAATCCCTCTGTGAGTTCATACTTTTTGAAAAATATTTAGATTACAAACGGTCTGAAGCTTAACAAAATTAGATTTAGAATACCCTGAGCCTGCCTTTCCATGCTCACACATGGCATGGCTTGTGCCAGCGGTCAAATGGCTTTGCACAAACAGTGCAGAGGAGGTACTGGATGTTGGTAACTGGTGTTTGCAGCATTGCAATGAGTCATTTTTCCAAGACACTCCTGTTTCAAGGGACAGCGTCTAATTAATACAGATTTGACAAGGCTCTTCCTGTTGGGCGTGCACTGGGACGTCAGCCATGCTGACAGGCACTAAAGAAAGTGGTATTTCATCTCATCTAATCACACTTGATACTATGTGTCTCCCAGAGACTTATGGAGGGCAAACTGGAGATATACAAGCCTCTAATTTTAACTCAGATGAGCTCTGAGTCATTGACACCTTTATGGCTGAGGAACAGTTGTTGGTTAATAAAAGCTGGGCTGTGTCTGCAAAGGGACTGCCCCTCCTCCTCCACTCATCTGCTGAAGTGACCTGCTGTATCTTACCTCTTTTTGAACATATGGATCATCAAAAGACACTTCCAGGATAAACCCTTTTGTTCTATTAGAAAAGAGAGTTTCATAAACCTTGAAGTCGTGGTACTGTGCTTCCCTCGGGGTAAATGGCACATTTCCTATTGCGATTGCCACCAGAGAGACATCGGGAAGAAAGTATCCAAATGCAACATTAAAAAGCCGTTCCTCTGGCACAGTATCTGCAGGGAGAGAACATCAAATTACTGCTGATGTGGATCAAGTAACAAAGACGGTTGGGGTGGCTTCTCATTCAAATTCCAGGAAACTTAGCCAACAGCCATCTCTTTAATGGCTCTGATTAATGAGTGTTTGTATTCTAGTCAGATCTGAAATACCCTGAGTACATGAGAATTGCTTCAAGCTGCAGGAGATTAACAACAAATACATACAACTTTACAGAAAGTGGCTTCAGTGACTTTCTAGAGGTGCACTATGGCATGCAATGACTTTCCTATGAAGAAATCTAGAATCTAGTTCAGCCATGTAAAATACAGAAAAACTATCATAATGTATGCTAAGAGGCTCCTTTTTCTTTCCATATCCCTTATACAGGCAGCTTCAAAGATATTTAGTGCCTTAATGCATTGGAAAATACAATTTAAAAACCATGACTGCAGTACTGGATGGCACAATTATTTGAGTATGCTCCCCAGGTAACAAATGCAGGCAGTTTGGAGGAGAAAATGCCATCAGTGAACGCTGTCTTTCTTCCCAACGTGATAACTGCACATCACAACATCTTTATTCTAGGGTCCCAGTGCTCACTGGAAAAATCTGGATGTTAATGCAAAAGAAATGTTTTCATTTTTATCAGCAACTAATAAGTTAAAACTAAAGCTTTGTGGTTGACTTTGGCTAGCAAATGAGAAGTGGGAGTTGAGAACATTGTGGGGTGTGTAGGGGTGTGGCAGAGGTCAAGTGGAGCGATGTATAACACAGCAAAAAATTAGTAAAAGACAACAAGAGGAATGACTTACTGTTGATAACAGTTGGCATTTGTGGCATGAAAGCTGTAGTGATGGATTTGATGACTGTGTACTTTGTGGTTTGCCAACCTGCATCTGTCCACGTGTGCTCCAAAAACAAGTCAATACTGTAAATGACTCCATATACACCACCAGATATGGAACTCTAGGAAGTAAAATGTGTGATTAAGTCTTAGTTCTCAATAGCTCAATAAAGGGATGACTGTATATGGTTAAAAATCTTACACTAGCAAGAGAAAGTTATATACTAGTACCGTTTGGGATGGATTTTGCTAGGGGAGCTTGTTTGTTTTTTGGCTTGGCCCATTTATCTGGTCCATGTGTGGCTCAGATACTGCTGAGATTCTCAATAAGGAAGTGTCAGGTTTGCGGGGATGTCCTCATTAACATGTTAACACATTGGTTTGTTTTTTTTTACAATCCCTGGATTTCCAGTCATGTGTCCTGTTCTGTCTCAGTTCACTCTGAAAGTTTCTCAGTGCTTCCAGCAGTTCTTAGACCAAGCCTGTCTGGTGTTACCATACACACAGTGATGTAAGTATCCACTGATACACAAAAAAGGGAACTTCTGAAGGGGATAACTCAGAATCACACCAATGTCATCCACACAAAATGGAACTGATAAAGAGACTTGTAGGAATATTGCCAGCTCCTTTCTAGGTGTTCAAGGTCACATTGGATGGAGTTTTGAGCAGCCTGACCTAGTGAAAGATGTTTCTGCCCATGGCAGGGCAGTCTGGACGAGATTATCTTTAAAGGTGCCTCCCAATCCAAACCATTCTATCCTGTTTGACTGAACAATTTTTTGACATTGTCTCTGTATCTGTAAATTATAGATTGATGAGAAATAAACTATGTTCAAGGCAGGTAGTTGCACCCCAGCTACATGTGGAGAAACTGTCCCATGCTAACTCATGCTATCTTCATGGAAATTGGCTGGGAAATTACTCCTTGAGCCAGGTCAGATGTTTATGAGGACTAGTTTCACAATTTAACAACATGGACAATTGAATTCCAGTGTCCAGGAATCCTTTCACTCTTAGTTTATTAGTATGCCTTAGAGATTATTAACAAAAGACATTTGCTTCTATCATGATTTGTAATCACAAAGTCCTAATTTCTGAGTAAGTGCTTTCAAAATACGGAGAAGGAGCATCTAGGTTTTCAAATATTTATTGTATCTACAAGTTTTAAGCAGCAATCAATCAGTATTTGGAATGATTTAGAATGATCATGATTTAGAAATATCTTCCATGGTACAGGCCCTCAAACATGTTTGTGTGTTCGTACTAACCTTTAGCTTGCCACCTTCTGCTCCAATAGGGATAGTTATTCTGATGTGTGTCTCGTTGTGCTCCAGTAAGTAGTTCTTCTCCTCTGGATTTACTATGACTTGATCATCAACTCCCATTACAATGTTTTTAGACAGAAAGGTGGATTCTTGAACCACTAATGTGGGAATAACCCTTGGCATCGTCCATGTCAGCGTAGTATCAGTGAAGCTGATGCCATCTGTGGAGTTAGATAGATATAGTCCCAGAGAATGGGTCACTGGAGTTACCAGAGCCATCCCTGTGCAACAGCTGCCTTTCCCTGACTCCTTTTCACCAGGATATCTGTACAGCTTTCACTGATGCAACACCTTGTAGGATATTGGTCAACTGATGACTACTTTGTCACAGAGACCCTGGCACTCAAAGCAGGCTTGAATCACCAGTTTCAGGTGAATCATTAATTTTTTCAGAAGAGCCAGCAGTCATGCTGCCAGCTACCTGCTCTGTTGCCCTTCTGGTCCCAGGGCTTGCGGGCAAAAGGAATAAAAGGCACAGAGCAACCAGTTCAGACTTCCTTGAAATATTGGCTTCAGGGTCATGACAACTTAAAACCTACTGCTTCTCACCACTTGTTCACATTAATACTCTTCTGTGAGAGCCAGAAGGTACAGCCACCACTTCTCTTCAAAAAGGTAGAATAGTTCTGCCTCTCCAGAGAAAAGGACTAGGTGAGTCCCAAGGATGCAGAGCTGCATGCCCTGCATGAAGTGGTACAAAAGAGGAGAGCCGAGGCTGTGGGATTAGTCCAGGGGAAGCTCCCTGGCCCTTCTATTACCACTTTTACTTGTCTCCAGTTCCCTGCATCTAATGTGAAGATTTGAGAAACTGGAGAGAAGGCACGACCCTGCACTGGGAACACAAGCAATGTACTGTCGCAGCAGGGAACATGTTTGTCCGGGACTAAAGCCACAGACTCTTAGCTCATGTTGCTCTGAGGGCAGCTTGTAATCCCCTTTTCTAAGAGTAGGTCAAAGTGAAATGGGAAGACTGTGTTTTCTACTAGCTCCTTAGCTGGTTGTTTTTAGTGAAGAAGGAAGAAATTCTTACCAACAGGACAGGAGACAGTCGTGTCAATCAGCAAAAGCAGCCACCGCTGCCTGTACATGGAAGTGGAAGTGACCATGTTCATATTCACACCACTGACCTGGTGGGATGCAGGCAGAAAAAGAGAGCTGATGCTCTAGAGAGGCAGTGGAAAGGGCAGAGCTTTGTGTGTGACTGAGACCAACAACTCACCACACTGATGTCAGACTCGTTGCTGTGGTAGGGCGCGCGCAGGTACACTCGGGACAGCGTGTTATTGAAGCTGTATCCCAGTTTCACTGCATCGCTTACTGTTACTCTCTTTCTCCCTGATGGAGAAACAAACATCAGTTGCCATTGCTGGTATGCAACATTTTGAGTCTGCAAGAGAGAGATGAGTTGCATCAAATCTAAGTCTACCAAAGTCTCTTAAAAAAATATAATATTGTAGCACCTATTTTCCTGTTAGAAGCTTGAGTAACTGGAATGATACTGGACATTACTAGTTCATCCCAGGCAAGAAATTCCTTTGATATATATAAAGATAAGGAATTCTAGAGCTCTTTAAGGCACCTTTAAAGATAGTCTTATAGCAGCACTGGAAGAAACTTGGACTGGTGGCCTTGAACAAATCCACTGTGGACAAAAGGATCTGTGCTGTTAAGAAAATTATTGTCTTCATGTCTGTTGATTGCTGGAGTACTCCAGAGGCCAAATGACAGACTACCCTTTATAGTATGTAGCCATACTGTGCCAAAGATAAGAAGAGAGTAATGCCTGTACTGTCCTAGAACAGAGTCCCCTGAAATAATAGCTGTATGGGAATATAGTCAAAAGGAAAATGGGCATAAGGAGCAAGTAAGAGATGAGATAAAAAGGACAAGCATATATATTTCACAGAATCACAGAATGGTTAATGTTGGAAGGAACCACTGAAGGTCATCTAGTTTAACCTCCCTACTTGAGCAGGGTCCCCTAAAGCACATTACTCAGGATTGTGTCCAGGAGGCTTTTGAATATCTCCAGAGAAGGAGGCTCACAACCTCTCTGGGCAATCTGTTCCAGTGCATGGTCACCCACACAGTAAAGAAGTTCTTCCTCATACTCAGGTGGAACTTCCAGTGGATCAGTTTCTGCCCATTGCCTCTTGTTCTATTGATTGGCATCACTGAGAAGAGCCTGGCTCCATCCTCTTCAGATACTTACAGATATTGATAAGATCCTCTTAGTCTTCTCTAGGCTAAGCAGGCCCAGCTCCCTCAGCCTTTCCTCATAAGAGAGATGCTCCAGTCATAATTTCCCCATAATTCTTTCCATTCTCAAATAATTTTCGTCTCAGGGACTCCTGAGCTATCTGTAGCTTCTTTGTATTTTGTACATCTTATTGGATTTCTCTTCAGTCAACTTTTCCAGATTCTCTTTGGGATCAAATAAATTTTTAACAGCCACAACATCTTTTAGCCATGAGTTTGACAGATTCACTACCCATTGTGTGAAGAACCACCTACCTTTTTTTTGTCTTGAATGCAGTTTCCACTAATGGAACAAGCACATGGCTCTGTTCTCCCACCTAAATGTCTTTTTGCAGTCTAGAGGTCTAAAAATACTTGAGAGGTTTTTCAATACTTGATGGCAACTTTGTCATCTCCCTGGGTTTTTTTGAGAGAGATGGAGCTGTGCCCCAAGAATGACTCATAAGACTAGAGAGAAGAGGCAGGCTAGGAACTGTTAGGAAAGGCTCCCCTTCATACCTCTGGCAGTGCTGACATCCACGCTACGGTGTAGTCATTTGAAACTGCAGGGACATCAGTCTTCACTGACACCTGGGGACACAGAGGATATTCTTTGGGAGCAAACAGATCTTCAACATTATTACAGGCATGGGGAATAGAGAGAGAGAGCATTCAGAATTCTTCTCCAAACTATGTCTGGATTTAGCAATTTGCATTCTTCGAAGGTAATTAAAGTGTTTCCATAGAGGTTTTTGATGGCAGTAGTTTCTGTGGCCTTACAATCAAAGTTAAAAGCATGGCCTTTATGGTGGTACATGTATAGCAGAAGAAATACTTTGTGTATGACCAGATAACCCAAAAGTCCTGCTTCATATCTGGTAAGCTGTAAACTAGATTCCAATCTGGAGTCTTTCAGGGACATCTGGGTCTCTTCACCAGAGGTATAAAGAAACAGGTTATTGGCTTTAACAGGATTGGTTCCCCTTCCCATGCAGGCTGAACATCTGAAAATGCCGGATCCCCGGTACCTAAGGTAGATGCTATGGTGTAAATCTTGCCAGCATGTGCTTCCGAGTGAGGTGAGGTAAGAGGACAGGGTCAGAGGACACTGGGTTGGAAGTCAGTGTTTGCCTCAGACATCTGTACCACGGTTTAAGTGTGTTGCAACACCCAGACGTGACTGCAAGCCTCATGTTCTAACAGGAGAAATATGCTTTCTTTGTCCTGCCTATAGTAGTTGTGTACAAAAAGCAGTGAAATTTGGTTTGTTCACAGCCTTATTTCTACACTGGTGCATAGGTGGTGGCAGCAGGCTGGACAGCCCAATCATACCACCCAGTGGGAAGCAGGTCCTATCTCACAGTGATGTTCTGTGAGTTGTGTGATGCAGCAGAGGTGAAGCTCTGCAGCCTCTAGGTTTTATTATTTCAGACATAAGGATGACATTCTCACAGATGCTGAAGCACTTTATAACATAAAGGTACTCTCATGAGCTAAAGAGCTTGCCCTGCCAGGCTGTTGATTTGTTTGCAGAGGCTTGACTTACATCATCTGTAGAGTTAGCTGAATTTCACTTCATCCAAAATACCTATGGCATGTAAATGTGTTACTAATAAGCATCTACAGTTACACACTCTGCTAAATATCAGCAGGTTGCTATTATGCCTGGTACATAGCGTACAATCAACCTCTGACAGGAATTTGTGGAGGTTGTTGTGCCTGGCAGGGAGCTTGTATGTAGCCTCGACTTCAGTGGGAAAATTTTTACCTCCATGTAGTTTTCTTCACACACAATTTCTCTTGAAGCCCAGGAAGGGTAGGAGCAGTACATAGGGTGGGTGTAGGTCACAGCTGCCCTCATGCTTGAAAATGAGGAGACCTTGATGTTCACAGTCAGAGTAAACAGATCATCTGCCTGGGAAGAAAAACTGGCAATTCAGTAGATACTGTGTAAGGTCCCAGGATTGACTGCATGGGACCATCTAGTCCTGTTTCTGAGGGTGTTTTATAATGATGAGAACAGGTTTAGAGCTGTAGTGCCAGTTCCTCCAACATACCACCCTATCTGAAGTGGTTTGTTTGTGGGGGCTTTCTGAGCTGGAGACATTGCTTCGGCACTCACAGCCTTTGTCTCAGATCACATCTCAGCACTATTCTTGACACACTATAACGTGCAGCTGGTCAAGAGAAGATCTCACCTACCTCACCATATGGTTCACATTTCTCCCATTTGTGACCCATGTGCCTCCTCATGGAGAAAAAGTACTGGACCTTTTGTTTTGATGTAGGTTGTTCAGATCTGTCTTAAAAATGCTGTTTAGAGTCTATCTTGACTCGCTCCGGTAAGAACTCCCTTTGATTCTTCAACTCTCCAGGAGCCACACACAAAGCCATGGACCATGCTTCTATCTGACATAGATGTGTATTTTTCTACAGAAAAAGGCAAAAACTTTCCAGAGAAATTTCCAGCCTGGAAATCCAGGTCATTGCACAGCACACTGCACACCCCCTGTCCTTGTTAGCATAACCTCTGCCCATAAAGTTTTACCATATTTTTTCTGTGGGGCTTCCAGGACCAACCAGACTAAACATGGACAAGCAATGAAGTTTCTACTCTGATATATTCTCTTTCTGGGTATGTTTCATCCCGGTGAATATTTAGAAATTAGAAGTCCAGGCTACACTTTTACATGTATTTTTGGAAGGGGTGAATCACTTTCCTGAGATGCCTGCCTCTCTCCATTGACTATTGTGGAAGCCTAAACAACTAGTTTAGGCTAGACATTATCTTTTAGATGGCTAAAGTTACATGAGACAAATCTAGATCTAATAGGCGTGTGTGATCTACGTTCCTAGGCATGTGTTAATAGGCACATTACCACACAAATTAAGCCAGGAAAAAATCTGCCAGAATCACACTCAAGCAGATGCCTACTTCTTTCCAGAGAGGCTTTCAAGAAACTCTCTGGCAAATCAGCAGCTACAAAGATATGCTTGAGAACTGGCAGCTAGTCAGCAGCATTATGCTAAGTGTCATTCCATGGACAGAGGAAATCCCATGTCAGTCACACTGAACAACCCTCGAAGCGGAGAGCCATTGCCTATTCATTTCTACACACTACCAACACTGGTTCCTTGAATTCACTGTTCTCAAAATGTGCCATTAGAATACCATATAGTTTCTCAGTCTTGTCTGTCTTGTCTTTTTGGAGAGGATGTGCAATCTGAGCTGTTTTCAAGCCTGTGGCTGGGTCTTACCTCGTTGGCCACATGACAGCCAAGCACTGACGCGCGGAAGACGGGGTTGCCCCACACATCTTCTGACAGCACGTAGCCACAGCGAGATGCTAGTTTCTCATCCAACAGAATGGGGCCAGCATAAGGATCTACAGAAAAAGGGAATTATATGTGGGATGTAAAGCTCAGGGCAAGTCACGGGGCAGAGTGGTGCTAAGGGCCTCTCATGCAGCTCTTCTCTGGGTGCTCTCCAGTGATGTGTGCTGTTAAAGACCTGGTGAAACTGTGCTGGCATTTGTAAGAATGTGTGACACAGTCTGGTGTGACTCAACCTCACCCATGTAATGTGCACTTTAGTGCCTGTTTCTTTGCATCCAGAAGCTTTTGCCACTGCCACCTTGAAGTGCTATTATGGAGAACTTCTCCGAGATATCACCTACATTTTTCCCTCCCTAACTCCCTATAAAAAAGTGATGGACTATTAAGCCCATCCATTTTTAAAAATCATCAAGCTGTGATAATCTGCTGTCAAAGGATGCAGTCATGGACCTGTTTCGGATGGGCATTTTTACATATTGATCATATTTGCTGCTCATCTGCATGTGCTGTGAAACCTATGGGGGGAGCCAAGTAACAGACACAATGAGGGCTGGCTGCACTCAGCTCTTGATGTTGGTGGAGTTAATAACATCATATTTTGTTAATTATCTGCCCTCTGATTAAGGAACTATTTTAGCCTTGGGATAGACACAAGAATCTGTACAAACAGATAGGGTTTAACTAGCTGCCACTGCAATTTCTAGATTTGTCTGTCATCTTTATATGTAGAACAGGACTATAACTGCTGTTTGAGTACATGTATGCTTGCAGCCCGGATAGACTAAGGAGATAAGTGGAAATAACTTTGGAATAAGAAGGAATAGCTTTTATGAGACCAACTGATAGAGCTGGAAGAAACAAACAACATTTTATGCCTGAAGGCTGGTCTGTTGTTTCCAGCAGTATCAGTTGCTCTCATAAATGCTATCACTTCTCCCCACACACTTTCCATACTTGATTTTTTCAGTTCTGCCTCCAAATCAAGTGAAACAAAAACAAAACCCAGAAAAAAATGGACTAATCTCAACAGAAATTAATCTGGTTTGGGGTGAAATCACATACTTTTTACAATCTGATGTGAACATTTTCTGGTTTTCATTTTGGTTCGGTAGATTTTTGTTTTCCCCAGCAAAACGGAAACCTTTTGTTCAAACTGAATTAGGGTATTTAACTGCAATTGTGATGTTAAATGAAAAGGAAATTAAAAAAAAAAAGTCCTTAAATTGCTGCAGCACTCAGCACTCATTGAGAGTGTGTTTTCTGGGTATTACCTGTCCTACAGTGCTGTTTTCATTTGTGCTGTCCAGGACATATCCGATCTGCAATGTCCGCTTTGTTTTTCTTGCTAGTCACGTGTAAGAGCTCAGCAGAGGAAAGTATGAAAGCCAAATGCCAGTCCTTCCTCTTCAGACCATCCTTTCTCCTTTCCCCAGCAGGTTAGTTGTAAGGGGCAAAGGGGGCTGTGGCTGTAGATACAAGCTTTAGTGCTCTGTAGGGATACTGGCCAAATTGAGATGTGAGAGGCCAGGTCTAGATGACAAGGATGTGCTGCAGGTTCTTTGGGGTCAGTTACCAATTATCAATAGATGGCAGCAGCATCCAGATCACAGACTTCTTTGATCACTTGGGTGATTCCCCAGCCGTCATGGTATTTGGGGTAGACACTTGTGACTCACCATAGATTTCCAGCTGGAAGAACTTTCCCTGGAGAAAGAGTTTATTCAGTTTCATCCAAAAAATTCTGGAGCGGCAACTGCTCTCTACAAAACCTGGTGGGAGCACATATAGAGTGGATGAGTCATTGGGACTGAAGGGCAGAGAAGAGGCACATCCTGTTACAAGCAAAATAACCAAGTTCTCATCCTTGCCTCTTCCCACTATCCTCTTATCATATTTCACCAACCTGGGGGAACCATCTGCCTCCCTTGTCCCAGCCAGAACAGCAAGAAAAGCAGCCAGATTCTGCAGTATAAGCACATGAATTAATAATGGGGTGAACAGAGAAAAAAAAAAAGAAAGGAAAATTAAGGAGGTGGCGACCAAAGTCTTGTTACCTGCATAGTGAGTGACCCACAGCCTCCATCTGTCCTTGGAGACCTCTGCATGGGCATCAAAGTCCTTCTCCACGTGAAAGAAAGTAAGTGGACACAGCTGTGGAGACAGAACTTGGTCAGACCCGGGAGGAGAGGTACAGCTTACCTTTACAGACTGTGCTGTGTTCTCCAAACCCTGTGTGTAGACCAGGAGGGGCCAGTGGCTTCTGTCGTGGAGGGACACCTGGGCTGAATCCTGCAGTGCCCTTCAATGTTATCTGAGCTCACTCCTGGCAGTGGGAAGCAGCCTCCCTCTCACTGGGAGGGCACAGCACCCTTCTGCTGTGCAAATACCTTCACAGGTATTTGCAAGGTCAGAGGCTGCTGCTGAACCTAACTGTAATGAGACCAGCAGAGGGTACTCAATGCTTTCCATCAACCCCTGGGAAGTATTCTCATTCCTTACAAGCCAGTTGGGTAGCTTTGGCTTCAGGTCTTAAGAGCACAGAAACATTTCCCTGGAGGTGTTTTAATTGGGTCTACACAGGAAATACATTTTTGTTTCTGTGAAATGTCCCAATGACCCAGCCATGCCAGAGATAACAGCAGTTCTTTGGCAGCTGCATGTTTGGCTTTTGTGGATCCAGTTAGGTCGCCCTTTGATTTGTTTGATTATCAGAGAGTGTTTTGGTGAAAACATCTTGTTTTTAGAAGTGCTCTGATATCATTGTCAGACCATGTGCAGGTCTGTCTGTAAATGACCAAATATATTGCCTGAGAAGAGAATGTCTTAGCTCCTGATGAGAGTTGTGGCTCTGGGACTGCAAGTGACCCAGGAAGCAGGAAGGCTGAGAGGCTTGGTGAGCTGAAAATACAGCTTGTGTGGCATTGATGAACCATAGTGGGTACAGGACATCTAGGCTGACATTTGAGCAATTAAAACACAGGGCTCAATTTTCTTTTCATTTCCATTTTGGGGCATTGCCCAACGATTCTTACCTCACTTTGATTCACAGGCATGAGCAGAGCTGTGCTGTAGAATTGAGATTATTTTCACAGCACCCTTCACACCACTTCAGAATAAATAAAAGCCAATGGGCACATCCACTCCCAGGACACAGTGCAATTGGTCTGATTTCTTCCTCTGTCCCTCTGTCTCAGAGGACAGAGGCTTTAACAATCTCCTAATTAATGTCCTTTGGCCACAAGAACCTTTCTCATTCAGTGGGAACTGAAGTTCAACTTCTGCAACAACTTCTCATGGGCCCACGCAGGACTCGCTGCATGATCCTGGCCTGCGTTACCTCTGTGTCCCCGGGCTCAGAGTGACTCTTCATTGAATCCAGCTGGGGCTGGAATTCGGCTGGAAATGGCGGTACTCAGATACCACAGTGATGAGTGTGGTGTAACACTGAGATTTTAAATTTTGAGTGAAAACTTTAGTATATTTGGATAACAAACAGTTCCAATTTTGATAAGCCACTTCCAAGAGCCATGTAGCATCTCCCCAAGATACTGAGATTCAAGGTCTGAGGGAACCATGTTTGAGAGAGCATGACTGCAATTTATTAATTAACAGTCAACTGCCAGGGCAGGTACACAACTGAAATTAGCTGCCACGAGCAGTGAGATGAATTTCTCCATCTTTGAACAATGCAGACCATCACGGTTACTCTGTTTCTGGCATTAATCTTGTTTCTAAATGTGGCAGAAATGACTTTGGATGTGACATAGAAATTGTGGTCAGTGTGCAATAGCCAGCTCTTGGCCTCACTATCAACCAAGCAAAGCAAAGCAAGTCCAGGTCAAACGCTTTTGGCTTCCAAGGATCGCTTAAGTGCTGTGGAAAGCATTGTTAGCATTGGGCGCCTGGAAGCATCAGCTGCTTGTGGTCCCTAAAGTTCCTCTGGTACTGATTATAAAGGTAGGGAGGATCAGCTTGTGCGTTCCAGGTTATTATATTTGTCTCCTCGGTTTCCCCCGCTGTTTTGGCTGCACAAGAGCACCCATCTTAATGTTCTCCTAGGGTAATAAACAGCTGCTGCGTTTCGACCTTGAAGTGATGGCATTCTGTGGTGGAGAAGATGATTCATGGCTTGGGTTCTTTCAAGCTGAAAGGTACCGTATGAATGTAATGTTTTGGTTTCTCTTTATTTCCTGCATGGGTCTGGAACTGAGGGTTGTATTATATAATGTGATTGGAAGTTTACAACTGGCCACTTGGAGCAGCACACATATAGCACTTCTCCCAGTGAGGCTTGGTTTCAGAGGTGGAAAAAGGCTCCAGCCCTTTGAGTCATGGTGTTTGTATGTCTGTTGTTCTGTGGCACTGAAATCCCCAGATTACTACAGAGATAGATTTTTTGGTTTCTCTATCCCAAGTCTTTTAATTATGATTTTATATTATAAAGTTATATATATAATATTTTTATATATGTGTATATTATATTTATATATATATTTAGATAATATTATAACTTTAATTATAACTTTATTTTTAATTACAATTTTCCAACTGGTTAAAAAGCAAGGATGTATTTTTTGTTAATTTGGGGTTTTTTGGTTGTTTTTTCCACTGGGGCATGTGTTGATCTGAATTAAGCTTCAGAGTTTGATACTTAGTCTGAGTATGGGATAGAGTAAAATGGCACCAATTATTGGACAAAAAAATAAGTAGTGAACAATGAGAGAGCGAATGGGTCAAAGCCTTGTTTTACTGTATCATAAACAGATTCATAGAATCATAAAATCACAGAATAGTTTGGGTCGGAAGGGACCTTAAAGATCATCTGGTTCCAACCCCCATGGCATGGGCAGGGATGCCATTCACTAGATCACTAGATCAGGTTGCTCAGGGCCCTATCCAACCTGACCTTAAATGCTTCCAGGGATGGGGTGTTCACAACTTCTCTGAGCAACAGTCTTTGCTCATATAGAGCTGTGAGAAGCCAATATAAGGTATCCCTGTCCTCCTTGACCTCTTGCAGCTGCAGGACTGGCAGATTTGAAATAGAGATAGAAATATTGGTATGTCATTGTTTCTAAACCTAGAAATAGCTGCCCAAGAAGATGAGCTAAGATGTGACTGTCAACTAGAGAGATCCTCTAGGAAATCTTCAAGAAGGAGATGCTAGAAGAGGTTCTTCTCTCTAGGAAAAGATATACCTTGGAGTAAAATGAGAATTAGATAACCAGGTTGTGTGTTCAGAAGTCGAGAAATGAGAACAATATTAAAATTTATCTCAGAGAAACATTTTCTCAGGGTGTCTGAGACACAGAGAGGTGCAAGTGGCCTCCACTTGCAGAGTAGCACTGCTGTTCTGGGACGAGCTTGGTCACCTTGACATGGGTGTGTGCCTGAGCTCTGCTCCCACCCATGTATGCCATGAGCTTGTAAGTGCATTCAAAAGGCTTTGAGATCCCCAGAGAAAAATAGCATATAAGGACAGTTCTGGTTTAACTTCATGACACAAAATAACCTCACTGATGCCACTGCTCTGTGTTTGTATGCATGTCATGTTTCAGAGGGTTGAGGCTGTACTGTTCTGTGCAGATGGTGCAGGGGAAAATATACCTGTATATAACAATTGCAGAAAAATCAGCTCAAAGAGCCAATTTCTTCCTATCCCCATGAGCTGGTAGTTGGCTTCTGCTCTGAACTGTGAGAGTTTATATTCCTCATTTGTTTTTATTAAGATATCATGATTATAATAATAATTATTATTATCTGTATAACGTGTGTTTAGAAAGTGTCCACGTGTTACTGCCATTTTTATCTTTAACATGCACCACACTCAAATGCACATGAATTCCAAAAAGCAACACTTGCATGCCACTAAATCGTTAATGTGGTGGAAAAAGAACAAATAAGCAGACCTGTACACTGATGAGCTTTTAATTCTTTTTTTAACATGCAATTGGTGTTAATTTCTCTGTGCCTGTAATGTTTGTGTTCACTATAACTGAACAATAGAACTTTGTTTTTGTTCTTTGTGTAAATTAAAAACATCTGTTCTCTTTATGCGAAAACTTGTTTTTTAAAAGAAGCTGGTCTGATCTAACTAAATACCAATGCTGTGTCCACAATGAGTTACTATTAATATTTGGGAAAGGCAACCATCCAAAGCAAGTGTAATGTCAAATCACTGGCGGGAGTGCATATTTATTGCTCGAAGTGACAGATAAAAATGCAGAGGTTACAAAAACAAAATTCTTGCGGATGACTAATGATGCATATATATGCCCCCAATGCCCCATCACCACATTTACAATTGGCAGGGTGTTCTCCGCTGCCTCTTGCTCCCCCAGGATTAATCAACAAGAGACTGGTAGCTTGGCACCCTCCCTGGAGGAGCGATGCTGCTCCCACCTTCCCTCCGGCAGACCCTGCATGGAGTGACCTTTGGGGTGTGCTGGAATCTGATCCATCTATTTAATTTGTCAGAATTTTCCCCCACCTTGTTCTGGTATTTCACTGCATGGGTTTATTTTCTGCTGAAGGCACATGACTTTTTTTCTGTGCAGGTGGAGGAGGAGGAGCATCCACTGCATGTTTCTGTAGTGCCTGTGAGTGATGCCAGCACGATGGTGGTCTTCAGAGTTGTCTTTTAAGTTGTGGTATGAAGGAGTTGGCAGCCCAAGATGGGACTGTCATCTTTCTCATGAGGAGCAGTCCTGCATTAAGCAGCACTCTTGCTGAAGTAGTTATTTAGGAGGTTATTTCAGATACACTATTTCTCATGATCTGCAGTAGCAGAACTGGGATCATGAGAGGCCCATGATCTCCCTGCCCAGGTGGCTATGGAGCCTTGTCACTAATGTACTTGAGCATCTCAGAGACGATGAAATAGCCCTCACAGGCAGATGTCCTCAGGAGAAAATACATATAATTAACATTTCTCGATGAAGGGCCTGATTCAGGAAAACTTCTCTATTGAGTGCAGCAGTTAAGCCTTTGTTTAAATCTCATTTATTTCAGTAAGATTTAAACATAAGTAATCCCTTCCCAGACCCTAGGCATGTCAAGCTCAGACCTGCTTCTCCCAGTGCCGCTACCTCTGGTGTCCTGTTCCAAGGGTGCTGAGCCTTTCCCTGGCATGAACCAAGAAAAAAACCTTGGTTGTGTTAAAGAATTAGGTATTTTGTTGATGTGCTTATTGCAGTCAGTGCCACAACCTATTATCAGCATAATTTCCCCGCTCCCTCTTAAGATGCCCCACTCTTGTATGTCTTTCCCCTCTCCTGTTCTCCTCTAGAAGAGTTCTGTGCTGCTTCCTTTCCTGTGCCCTTTTCCTTGACTACCCCTAATATCCATGTTATTCATCTCCATCTCTTTTTGAAGCATCTCTGCTCTCTCTCTGCTATGTACTGTGGCATCCCCCATCCTGCTCCCAACAGGTACCCACAGCAGTGGTGGCCTCCCACAGAGGCCAGCGCTCATCAGCTGGTCAGACACCAATGTCCTCCTCCAAGATCCAGCTGAACACAGAACTTGCTGAGTCACATTTTCACTATAAAAACACTCCTGTGCTTCCCTA